TCATTGTCCACACATGTAGTTAAGACTTTGTCCTGTCATCTGTATATGTCACATTTTTCAAACGAACTGGTATCTTCAAGAAAAAAAAAAATAGTTGCCATTACTTTTGCCCCAATCTACGTATATATATATATATATATATTATATTAATATCTCTTTTTTATTAAACAGACTTGATTCCTTCTTCAAGAATTCAAAATTTAGGCTTAATCCAAATATAATCCAAAAAAACAGATTTGTTCCTTCAAAATTCCTTTCAGTATACACTATATCCCGCAAACAGTCACTAGACAGAAATGATCTTAATTATGATAGATTTTGGAAAATAAGCGAAATATTTGAGCATTTGAGAAAAAATTTTAAGGAAATATACGAGCCCTCCGAAGAACTTGCTGTAGATGAGGTAATCGTTCTTTTTAAGGGAAGAGTAATTTTTAAACAATAGTTCCTAAAAAGCATAAGCATTTTGGAATTAAAATTTACATGCTTGTGGACCACCACGGTTACACATATGACATGAAAACTACCTCAAACGAGATTCCTAAAAGTCGAACAATGGGAAATGTGCCGCTCATAACACAGAATAGCACTAACAGAAAGCGTAAAAGGCAAACAACAAACTTTTTATTTAACCATTTTTTACAATTTATTTTTTAAATTGTATTTTTAAATATTTTTATAAATTTTTTGAAAACATTTTTTTATTATAACCTTTAAAATTTTTAATATCTTAAAGTAGATGTATTTCTAGGCACACCTGCAAAAAATTAGAGTTTTTTATTCAAAACTTCCTAAGATATACGTGAATTTACATATTGGCGTGTTTTGAAATTTGGCATACTAGTTACCAGTGATAATAATGGCCAATGTACTTTATGCATTTTCTTGAAATTGTTTGAAAGTAATGAACACGACTTTTTTTCCACTCATGTACAATGAAATAAAATGAAAGGAAAATAGGTTGCTGTAAATTAAGAATTTCGTCAATTGAACTATTCTTGGTGCAAACTGAAAAAAAATAAGCCAAGATAAATTTTTAAATGTTGCGCCAAATTTTACAAAATTTAATATTTAGGTATAATTTGAGTCGCAGAATCGAAATCTGGAAAAAATTGGGTACTATTCGGTTTCGAGGGCCGTAAAAATTCGCCAAACTATTGTTGATGCCAATGCTGCCACAAATAATTGCGGCAACCCTAATAATTGCGGCAAGAAAGGAAGTATAATAGTAAATAACTATTTAAGATTGATGTTTTAATTTAGATGAAAGTTAATTTCATATAATACTTTTTTATTATTATAATTTATATGAAAAAGGCTAAACATGACTGAATGGAAGCATAAATAACTATTTCAGATCATTATTATAATTTATATAAAAATTGCTAAATATAACTGAATGGATGCCTGCATCGCTATTTCGCTACCGGCTTTATCGCTAAAGCATAATTTCATCTCGTTGGTTGTTCAAACATAATTTTCTATAACGAATGATGCCTTTTCTTTGAAAATATTCTCAGTAAAGTGCAGAACCGCTCACTTATTTGTTTGCCACTTTTTACAAGGGTAAAAACAATTGGATTTTTGTCATTTTCTTTTAATTTTTAAGTGAAAATAGGTCGATGTGTACATAGATAGAGTCAAGGGTGTGTGCGCAGTGCCATTTTTGTGCAATTCTAGGATTTTTTTTTAAGTGAAAATGGGTCGATGTGCACATGGATACCGAGTATGAGCAATTCTTAAAAACGCATCAAGCAGTGGGTGATTCTGCACTTTATCCAAAATTCTATTGCCGAGTTTTTGTCATGGGCAACTCCCAAATTTTTAATCCATACAAATATCAAAAAAGGATTTAAAAATTAAACTAGCATTTCAATGGCGTCTTAAGAAATGTAGAACTATATAAACTTAGGCAACCTGAAATCAGCGAGTACGCTAGATTTGGCGCGCTGTTAAATGGGCGCTTTTGCGCGTACATTTTCGCTGCAATTTTTTTACGGCCCTCGAAACCGAATAGTACCAAAAATTGGCATGTCATTTCAGAAAATGCCCGATTTTGTGTCAAAATATCTATGATAGAATGATGCTATCTATGTATCTAACATATATCCTAAGTTGCATTTCCGAGACATGAAAAACACAATTTGAATTTCGTCAATTGGCAAAGTAAAAAAAAAAAAAAAAAAAAAAAAAAAAAAAAAAAAATAAAAAAAAAAAAAAAAAAAAAAAAAAAAAAAAAAAAAAAAAAAAAGGAGATTTTGTCCATCTTTTTCTTGGAGGGGGAGGCAAAGTGTACATGTGTATATATACTTTATTCCCATTTAAGGGTACGCATGCTTTCGGCTTTATGTACATATCTGCACTTATACCATATTATATAAATGCAGACATACATACTACATGGATATGTAGGTATAAGTTTCCATAAACAAATATGAATTCTCACGTACTTGTATACAGGTACAAGCAGTTTTTTCTTACATTCTTATCAGTTCTGTCTCTTTATTTCCATATAGATCTGTTTATGCTGAAGTGACCTTCACACAGAAGTTTACTGTGGTGGTATGTTCAAACAAATCACAGCATAAATATAAATTTTGTGCCTACGAAACAAAAGTAACTTTACAATTTCAGTCTGAAACCTGGAAATCGTAAATACACTGAAACTAGTCAACCAGTTTTGAAAGCTTTTGCCTTTGTAAAAGAGAGGAATTTGTTCATTGTGTTTCTCTCCCTGGGGCTCATTTCTAACCATTAGATTCCAGATGTGCTGGAGGTACCTCCGTATCAGTGTCAGATTTCAGAGCCAAATAGTTTTGGAGTAAGATGTTCAGAATGAATTAGAGTAGCATTTGCGAAATGTCACTGTCCGTTGAGACAAACAGGATGTAAAAGCTCTCAAATAATGTACAAATTATTGTTCTAAGACAACACATGTTCCCCATCTGAATTTCTGAACCTTGATCTTTTAACTGATTGAATGCCTTTGCCATTCATTGGACACGTATCTCAGTAACTACGCTCAAGTAGTGGAGTAATTCCTGGGGGGGGGGCATATCTTGGCCACTCAGTTATAAAATAGTTTTGATAATACAGCATAATAATCGAGGTGTTAATGAAACTAATGAATAGCTGCCAAGTTTTCGATAGCAAAGGGAAAAGCAGTTAATTAAACTTGTGTCGGTATAGAATTCACTTGACCTGACAATGAAGTTTTTTTGAGTAACTGCACATAAAGATACTCACTAATATATTGTAAAATTTAAATTCCACCATATAAAAATGTCAAAACAGCTACAAAGACAGTTTGGAGTTGAAACGAACTGGTTTAGACAATAGAGGAAATAGAAAAATTTACATGCAACAACGATATCAAACAGGAGAAATTTTTGCTGGCTAGGCGCACCTGAAATTATCTGGAAATTTCTCTAAATGAGCTAAATTATATAGCATAATAAAATACAGTATTGAAGACAACAACTAATTATCGTTTAACCTTTTTTTCCTGCAGTTTTTCAGACACTATACATAATAAAAAATTTTACTTCGATTTGAAAAAAACTCTTTGCACTAAGAAATTGCCTTAATTTTGATACTCGAGTGAACACGTTCCCTTAGCGAGGCTGGGAATTTAGTATAAAAAGACAAATGAAATTTACGTTTTGAATTTTGGGTTTGCATACTAAATAATTTGACATTTTTAATAACTTAAATTCATTCTATTATAAATACCTGAAATAAATCCCTTACTAATTTTCAATAAACAGTATAAAATGGTACTTTATTAAATAATCCTTTTTTTCCCCTTTTCTAATTTTAAAAACTAAAATATATTATTCTGAAAAACCATTTTGGAGGTTCTGTTTTATTATGCACATATTTTGGAAAAGAACTGAATTTAAATTAGGAACACTTACATAGTTGGACATTGCAATACTAACAGTCTCCAATAAAATAATTTTTAATTAAACCAGATATATTCTATTTTGCTGAAAGTTTCCTCCTTAAATACTACATTATCAAGCAGACTTTTAACAATTATGTAAAATTAAAATTTCATTACGCCTATAGAGCATAATTTTAACGGTTCCACTGAACTTTAATTGTTAATAATTTCTATACCATTAAACGTTTATTTTTTAATTATTCCTTGTATGGAAGAAAAATCAAAGATATATCTATATTTGATAATATATACCAAAATAAATTAAAAATTATAAGGAAATTTAACAGTGAAAAAAAAGACTGAGATGAAAACTAGTTAAATTTTAAATTACCCATGAAATAATCAAATAGTTAAAATAATTTTGTAACATAATATTAATATAAAGATATGACAGACATAATTATTGTAAGTACTTAGTAAAGATGCATAATTTTGCAGTGTAATTTAAAATTCAAACAAAATTTTGTAAAAACGGAAGTAACGTATTATAATATAAAGAATGACTTCTTCTTCAATTGAAGTTTACACATTTCCTTCTGTGTAACGCTCAGTTATCTCAATCTGGAACAACTGTAATATGAATTTTTCCCTCAATGACGAAAAGCATCTTTAAGTCTCATCACTAATCCATATATTTCCCTTCCTTTTGTGACATAGATGCACCCCTCTGAGAATCCATTAAACTACACACAAGAATCTTTGTTGCAAATAGGAAAATTTTCTTAGGGGGGAAAGCATTCGGGGTTCAAGATACCCCGTCCTTTCAAGGCTTTTACAGCTTGCAAAGCCCCGCCTCAAAATGTTAATAAAATCCTCTTGGCCCCAGAACTGAAGCGATTTTTATAAACATATATATGTTATTTTGAAAAACTCTACAATTAAAAGCATAGTTCTAAGATCAATATTTAAGGAAATGAAGTCTATAGCTACCTATTTTGAACTTAATATGTATATAAGTTTTATTTTATCCCTATTGCATATTATAAATACAGCTTTTAGTCAGCCTTATCAGCTAAAAAGTAAACATACTGTAACGAATAAATTCCAGACTTACTGGTCTGTTCTCCATGTTTGTCTTCAGAATAAAAATCAGACACTAAAAGAAAAATATAGTGGTTAAAAATACTTTACATAAAAAATTCACTCTTGTAAAAAATAGATAAAATAATTGAATGTTGAAGGATCACAAAAAGAAACTGCTATAGAATATAAAAACTAGAAAAATAAGCAGCACTTTCACCAAAAACATTTGATAAAATATGGTTTTACTTAGGAATTACTGCTTGTTCAAACATATTTATACTTCCTCATAAACGGAATTTAAAGAAATATAAGACAATTAATAAATTATAAAAGAAATCTATGACATATACTATTCCATGTTAAGATATGGAATTGGTGGTTATGTGCTGGGCACATCAGATTTCTTGCCTAATTTTAAAAATTTGGAGAATTCTTAGTTTTAAACAACTGATTAATAAACCATTTGTTTAAAAAATTCAGGAAAGCTACTATCTGTACAGAAAGGAAGCTTGTCAGAATGCCACATTGAAATTAAGATAAAATTCACCTTTATATTAATACCAATTTTATGGAAGACATTTTAATGGCTCCATGTTTGTTTTTCTCAAAATTAATGACCCTCTCTCAACAAATTTTATAAGAATCATGTCAGATGCTTAATCCTGATGATAACTTTTCACTAGTTTACATACATAAGCATAAATTAGCAAATTTACTAACAATGGAATTTAATTTTCAAAACAGAAAGAAAAGTACATACAATACAACATACAACTTGGCTGTTGCTACTTGAGAACGAGATAAATGAGATTTAAACAAATGTAACTTAATAAAACAAAACTTCAGACCATGAGACTTTATGAATATATAAATGACTAATTGGAGTAATTAATTACATTTAAAAGTAAAAAATATGTACATGGCAGATATGTTTCAATTTCTTTTTTAATTTTCCCTTCTTTCATCCATTTCATTAAGATACTGCTTGCTTTTTTTTTCTAGTGTGATATTTAGTAACTGTACAGATCCTATACCAGGGTTTGCACACATTTCTGCACATTAAAATTACACACCTTTAAGGAAAAAAATTAAGGACTTATCAGCAAAGAGGATTGAATAAATTACAGCAATTATCTATATCTGAACTTCACTTCTGTAACACCATTCTAAGAATAAAATAAATCTCTAGGCAGGATACATTATTATTAAACATTCTCCAATACTTAATAAAGTAAATTTGAGAATAAATTCAACTTTGTAAAATTTGTCAGGTAATTAAATTATAAAATTCCTCCACAATTTACACTTATATTATTTTATACATATAATAGTTTTACATATTTTAAAGAAGATCAGTGATATTTACGAACAATTAGTTTTATGTTAATTCTTTCTTTTACGCCTCCTTTTATCATGTACTCGCTGTGTTCAGGTTTATGTAAATTTTAAGCTGAGGGACATAGGTTTAAATGAGGAGTAATATCATAACCAGTATGATTTGTAACAAACTTGGCTGTTGCTATTTGCTATGAGAGAGAGTGAGAGAGAGACTTGGATTAGAACAGATATGAATGTCTGATACTGGTACGTGTTAAAAGTTCTATCTGATCCAGTTAGTGTCTCAGCTTTGAGTAAAGCTGCTGGAGTTATAATTCACTTAATATACAGTATTTAGTATAAAGTTCCAATAAGCTGTTGAAGCACCAGAGATGGTAAAACATTTTCCATTATTTCAAGTATCATTAGCTTTAACAAAAACATTTTATTTAATATTAATGTTAATAATTATTATATGTTAGTTTTTACATTGTATCTTACAGTTGGATCCTGGCAGAGCTCACACCCTTAGCATGCCCACTTATATGGCATGTATCGATGTATACATGGACAAAGTCAAGGGATTGTGCAATGCCAAGTTGGTGCAACTCCGGGATGTTTTTTTAAGCGAAAATAGGTCAATGTGTACATGGATACAGAGTTTGAGCAAGTTTTTTACTTGTTATTTTCAAGTTGGCGATTTTGAGAAACACACGAAGCAGTGGGTGATTCTGCACTTTCCCAGGCTGTCGCCAGGCTCTCCTAGGATTTTACCTATCTTACATCCACAGTAAAGATTAAGGAAAGATAGCAACTCACTTTAACATGTAGAGATAAATTTCAAGGAAAAGCAACTATTTGCAAATACTTATATATGTAATTAGATGCCCTGAATGTCATTATAGATTTACATGGTCATAATTTTTCTTTTATTTATAAAAAATATCTGCTTACAAACAGTATTCAAATCATAATTTAAGAACATTTTGCAGTTTAAAATACAGATAATTACACGTATAATTTATGATATTGATTCTAAAATGATACTATGGTAATTACATACACACACACAAAAAAAAAGGGGGGCTAGACAAGAAAGTCCTCATTGAAGTCATCTCTACTACGGCTGAATTTCGTCAATCTGCCAATCACAACAGGAGATATAAAACAGCTTCCCCCTTTTCTTCCCCCCCTTTTTTTGACTCGCTATATAGTGAACCTTGAGCCATGAACAAATCGGTTCACAAGTTTTTCAACTGAAAAATGTTTGAATGCTGAGCGATGTCTCGAGATAGGAACATATAAGTCTCACATTCCAAAATGCAGTAAATGCAATGGAGAAATGCCTTCAAAAGACAGAAAGGATGATGTTCTTTATTACTTTTCATGTTCATCTTGACCTCTTCCTTGCAAAATGGAATTTGGTTGTCAAGAAAAACATGATCCCTTTTTTTCGTATTTCTAAGATTGGTTAGAAGAGAAAAAAACATTCAGTAGCATTGCATTCAGAAATTCATTTTATAATTTCCATCTTCCATTCTTGTCTTACAGTTCAACAGATTAGCTAAGAAAAAGTAACATAATACAAAGTTGGAAAGAGGTTGAACTCTGAAGGATTTCCAGGTAACACACAGCACTATGCCATGAATGGAATGGACAAGGATGCCTCAAGTAGCTCACCAATGACTTTGTACTGAGGTATATACACTATGTCATGTTTGTTTCGTAAAAACAACACACAACAAAATATTTATGCCTTTTTTAATTTGAAAATTTTCAAAATATTTTAGTTAATTTACATCAGTTTCCTTCTCTTTAACATCTTTTTTGTTTCAATAAAGAAATTAGTGTTTTACTTGTCTCTGCTTCAATCCCCTAATTTGTTAATGTTTTAACAATATACCTTTGAAGAATAATAAATATAAAAGAAAAACAAAATTAATTTTAAAATTATTAAAGCAGCTTTTGCTAAGAAGCACTTCAGAAAGTACATTTCGCAGCCTTTATTACCTTATTTTTAAGAATTAAAATATTCCTACGCCATCAAAATGGAAAGTAGTGTTATTTTAAAATATGACATGGGAAAATAAAAATGTTTTATTTTAATATAATGCTATTTACTAATTTTATTACGTTTGTTTAAAAAAAAGTTGAAATATTCGCAAATATCCAGATTATTGTGAAAATGTTGATAAATAACCAAATTTAGTACTGCATAGTTAAAGAAATCAAAGCTTAAAAAGGGAAAGGATGTTTTTGATGCAATATTTTATGAACTTTTCATTCGCAATAATAATAATTTTAAAATGTTAATGCTTCAATTGAGGCAGGACTTCGTGGCCCTTATGCAGTTAAGAAGTAGGAAAGAATTCAAATCATAACTAATCGAGCACATATTTGTCAATGAGTTGAAAAATATTTCTCTAAAATGTTAGTTCACACTCAGAATGGCAGTCATAAAAACCAGAAAGATATGTCAGATGAGAAAATTAAGGAATTTTGCTGATTTGACTTTCGGTCCATCAAAAATCATTTAAAAAAAAAAAAAAAAAACTAAGGATTTTCAAGAACTGTACGAATTCTGCACACACATCATAACAAATATAATTTATCATATTAATTAAACCAATTTTATTAAGAGAACTATATACATCATACAAAAAATTTTATAGTATCCTATCCCATTAAAAACTTGTCTTCAGAAATCGAAATCTGCAACTAAAAATCTTTTATTATCATAGAACAAAACTTGGTAAAATCCTAGCATACAGTACGGCCTTTGCGTGATTTTAAAAACTGTCGCCAATACCAAAATGATTCATTTACTGCTCATCATAACACCTCATTTACTGCTCATTGTAACATCACATTTACTGATCATTATGTCACCAAATCCTGTGTATACCATATACTAGGATTAAATCCAAAACTCATAAAATAAATTAGATATAGGCAATAATCCCTTTCTTATCTTCCAAATGATCTTTTCTGGGATCTTCTGATGAAAGTTAGGGTTCTGGCTTTTGATTAAAAATCTCAACAAGGGCTTCAAATGCATTGAATTGACGAGGTTCAAGCACATCTCCTCAATTAAATTACTTGCACTCATCTCTCACATACTGGTCTCACAAACCAGCTTTTTGGTTTTTTTTTTTTTTTTTTTTTTTTTTTTTTTTTTTTTTTGTATATAAAGCAAGAAGTAAAATAAGTTCTGATCTAGCAGAAACTCAATCAATTTTGTTAAAAAAATATAACGGTAAAAAGTCAAAATACGTAGGTAAGTTGAAAAATAAGTTTCCCCTGTCAACTGTGGTCAGAGTTGTGTATGAAAGTCAAAAAACAGAACGAGACATTAAAGATATGACATACCTTTATTTTTCCACATAGGTACCAAGTACATTGAGACATTTGTCATATCGCTTGATAAGCTTCAAAAAGCCCTCCAGGAAAAAATCAGGGCTTTGCATATGGAAGAAGCATTGAATGGCTTGTTTCACTTCAGTATTGCTTCCAAAGCGCCTTCCTCCGAGATTTTTCTTTAAAGTCGGAAACAGATGGAAGTCGCTTGGTGCGAGATCAGGACTGTATGGCGGATGTGTTGTAGGCGCTCCCAACCAAGAGTTGCAATATGGTTTTGCATTGCCGTCGCCGAATGTGGTCTGGCATTGTCATCCAACAGCAGAACGCCAGGGCGTTTTTTCCGAATCGCCTCTTTCAATTTCGACAGGGTGTCACAGTAGCGCATAGCACTGATGGTTCCAACCTCCAAAAAGTCCATCAACAAAACTCCTTGGGCGTCCCAGAAAACTGTGAGGAGCACTTTACCTGCAGAGGGAGTTGTCTTGAACTTTCTTCGGACAGGTGACGACGGATGTTTCCACTCCATAGATGCGGCTTTCGATTCTGGCGTGAAATGGTGGACCCACGTTTTCATCTCCCGTCACAATCCGAAACAGTAAGTCATTGCCATCTTCATGGTAACGCACGAGATGTTCCAGGCTGACCCCCATGCGTTGTTCCTTGTGTGTCGATGTCAATTGTCGGGGCACCCATCGTGCTGACACTTTTCTGTATTGAAGAATGTCGTAGATGATGTTTTGAGCTCGCTCATGTGAGATTCCAAGTTCTTCCGCTACTTCATCGATGGTGATACGCCAGTTCGCTCTAATCATGTCATCCACCTTCCTGACATTTGCATCTGTAGTGGCCGTGCGCGTTTTCCAGCTCTCGGCATGTACTCCACTTGCTGACGTCCATCACTAAATGTGCGACACCATCTCCGCACCATTTGCTTCGACATCACACCTGGCCCATAGACTTCCACGAAGAGGTTATGAATTTCTGTTCCTGATACTCCACGTGCCCATTCATAGCGGATAACCACTCTCGCTTCATCCTTTGACCACGAATTCAAAACGCACCTTCTCTCCATACCTACCGGGGCTCAAACGAGAGACTGGTCTCCACTTTGTGGAGGCACTGCAACAGCGCCATCTGCTTGATTTGCAGCAACCTCTACCCAATGGTGTATCAGTGACTTGCACGTTTTCCTGCTATGTCGCCTTTCGCCCATAGCCGTTCAACGCTTCTTCCATATGCAAAGCGTGAATTTTTCTCGGAGGACTTTTTGAAGCTTATCAAGCGATATGACAAATGTCTCAACATACTCGTACGAGAATAATAAAATAAAGGTATGTCATATCTTTAATGTCTCATTCTATTTTTTGACTTTCATACACAACTCTGACCACAGTCGACAGGGGAAACTTATTTTTCAACTTACCCTCGTACTATACAAAAATACACTCTCCCTCCATCCAAGTTTCCAATCCAGCCATCTAATGTATGCATATGACTTAAACTGAAAGTGTCTGCTATGGTGTGAACTAATGCATGCAGAAAGCGCCTTTTTCAAACTCTTCCAGTTCTGTTAAACTCACTTCACTATTTATAAAATTCAGGCAATAGTAATAGAATATTTAATTGGTACCTAGCAAAACTCGTTGTAATTCATCAGTTAAATTTATTGAAGGTCATGGCTTATTTATTATTCAGTTATAGAGTATTTCAATAAAATGGGTTCCACCAAAATTTAAGCCAGTATAGATTTACGGTTAATCTTCAGATTATGGTAACTTGGCGATTTTTTTGCGACCAACCCTGCTACAGCAACCTGCTAGTTTTTGTTTTGAACGCCATTTTGTTTTCACGAAGTAAAGGCAATTTTTTTTTTTTACTCAAAATTTTTTTCCAACAATCTGTTAGCCGAATTACGCTTATGCTAGAACTTTTATGGAACAAAAGTGCTTAATCATGACGAAGATTAGGTGCAAAATTGGGAGAAAGTGCAGAATCGCCCACTGCTTGCCACGCTCTTAAGAATTGCACATACATGGTATCCACGCACATGTCGACCTATTTTCACTTAAAAAAAATCATCCCAGAATTGCACAAAAACGGCATTGCGCACACTCTTGACTTTATCCATGTACACTGCTAAAGTCCTAGCTTTATCGCCTTGCCAAAATGTCGCCAAACTACCTGTTACCATATTCCAAAGATTAGCCAGATTTACTAATACTCCTTCTACCAAGGGAGGTACTGATTCTACCTTTTGCCAGTACACAACTGTTTATCTGGACTGGAGCTAAAAATGGTAGAATTTTTCCATCTTCAGATTAACCTAAGAAGTCCTCTAAAGGCATTATAAATGAATGTTCTTTGGGGTTAACTATTTGAAGGGCAGTGGTTACCTACAGTAACCACCTTTTCTATTGAACAACTTACTCCCTCGTGCGAGTGGTTTTCAAGACTGACCACTTTTGAAGTTCTCTTGTAGCTCACTAGATGACAACCAAGAAACATAAGGCAGTAGATGAAGCAATTCGTCTTCAAGAAAATAAGCATCAGCCATCAAAAGACAACATCACGACGATGTGCACTCTGAAGCCCCAAGAAAAAGGCCTGTAAGAACAGTGATGGAATGCAGCACATGCAAAGCTGCACTCTGCTTGAAAAAAAAAAAACTATTTCCATGAGTATCATAGACACTGATTTGTAGAGATGTCTTCTGCAAGTAGAGATGTCTGATGTCTGTAAAAGGTTTATTGCTTTTTCCTGCCCCTCAAAGAGTTAAACAAAGGTAGTGCTTAAGTTCTGGTTTTGATTTTAGAACGCCAGCCGATAGAGACCTCTGCATCCTACCTCATTCAAAATTTCCCATTAAGATAAATGCACTAAGCTAACAGACATTCTCAGAAAGCTTCATGAAATGCATCTTTGCATTATTAGGCTTTGAATGAAAAAGAATATGCTCACTGTTAGCTGAACAAGAAGTAAAGAAAGCTTTACTTCTGCCCATAACCATGAAATGAGTGACCGAACAGACACAAAAAGTATGAATTTGAAAAGATCTCTGGATAACAAATACCATAACCATGAAATGAGTGACCAAACAAACACAAAAAGCATGAATTTGAAAAGATCTCTGGATAACAAATATTCTATTTAAGAAGGCTTGTTATGAAACATTAAAAATAGCACACTAAGGAAAAAATATTTTTTAGTTCTCACATAGCACTTTTGTTTTTGGATATATTTCAAAAGCACATTTTTTACTAGATACACTTGTATTTAGAAATTGTTTCAACTTTCTTTCAAAGAAAAACAATACACTGAAAAAAATAAACTGTTACATTAATTATAAGGACAATATTTTCAGAAACAAAAATTTGTGATTTTTTTAATTAATTATTTCAACATCACACAATGATGAGAAAGCTAAATTTGCAAGAAATATTTTTTTACAGAATTAAAACTTTTTCTGGTAATTTTTTCCGCAGAAAAATCTCGGAACACAAAATACGAATTTATTTTTGGGCATGAAATGAAATCTACGAACTTTACAGGCATTATTTCAGCAAAGAAATATTGTTTTACTCTACAAATGAGTTTATAATTCGTCCTGAGACAAGTATTCTCAAAAACGAAAGTCGTACACCTAAACCTCAAAATAATATAGACTATTGAATGTTGATTTTGAAAGATCAGAAGGAAATCGCTTCAAAATTAAAATATTTTCAATCGTAATTCTACAAGAGAAATTTTTAAATTCATGAAAATATGTTCTCATTGCGTACCCCAATTGAGTGCTTTCGATGCAAACCGAAATTGGTACCCCACACTAAGTAAAATTCAATTCTGGCAATTTTTGGACAACGAAATGAAACCTACGAACATTATGCGCTTTATTTCAGAGAAATGTGGAAAGTCAAGAAACTACATTCTCGTTGTAAACCCACAGTGGATGTTCTCACTGTAAACCGAAATTGGTATTCCACACGTAATAAAATTAATTTCTAACAATTTGTTTTAGCATAAAATAAAATCTATGACTGGATGGGTTTTATTTCTGCATGTTATTCTACTGAATATGTTGTTCTATTGTAGAGTAACGTTGTTCTACTGTATAGTAAAGCTTATAATTCTTTCTGGGAGGGGTATTCTCAGAAACGAAAGTTACACATGTAAAGCTCAAAATAATGTAATCTAATTAATCCCGATAATAAAAAGAGTTCTTTTACATCAAAAGTTATATAATTAAAATATTTTTAACTATAATTTCCTAAAAGAAACTTTCACAATTATGATGTTCTCAAAGCAAACCGAAACTGGTATTACTACTACTTAAAAAGAATAATGAAATCAAAAAATATATGTTGCATGAAAATCTAAAATTAAGACAATGAAATACACATAACTTTAAAGTAAACCTATTCAAGTACAGAATAAATAAGAACATACCTATGAAAACGGAAACAATCACGCAACTACCAGCTAACACTCACAACCCCAACACTACTACCAACCGGTAACAGCGGTTTTATAAAAAAGAGGATTTATTCCGATTGTTGCCACAAATGTCAAACCGTCAAGATATATAAACAACAGACTGAATTTGAAGCTTGCGTCCGTTGCGAAAAAAGTTTCAAAGAAACAGGACGAGCCTTAACCCCTCAAATACTGATGAAAATGAAAACAATCGAGGAAATAAAATATTAATGTAAAAAATTTCTAAGTAATAATGCATTCAAAAGTTTACCATATGTAATGCATGTGAACAATAGTAGGACGTAACTGTAAACTTTTAATACAGGCGTTTAATAAAACAAACAATGGAAACATAATTCCAATCAGCCTTAGCAAAATTAATTTGTTAATGTAATTTGATGCTCTCAAAAGCTTTTAGAGACTAGACAGTTTTCAGTAAAGAACAGTTTTCAATAATAGAGGGGAAGGATTCAATACAATTGTTCAAATGATTCTGAAGAGGTACAAATTATGTTTACAATATTTCTGCTTCATAACTATTTAGTTTTACTATAATTCTCCTTAATAGCCGCCATCTGATGGGGATTTTACATCTGTCACAACTTCAGCACCTGTTAAAGGCTCGCAGACGTTGCAGCTAAAGTGCCCACTTCCTCGAAATTTGCCAATAGAATTTTAGGATTTCTTTTTAAGAATTCCCACTGTTGCAAAGCTACGTTTCCCTCTTAAGCGTCAACAGCTTCAGTGACTGATTCTCTTCATTATTATTTTTCTTCTTTAAAATATGCTTTTAGGAAGGAATTATTTATTGTTACATTTTGCCAAGCAAAGTCAGTTACACGCATGCAGTCTAAAACCCTAAGAGTTGCTTGCATTGGAATTTCGTGTGCAAAATTTAGTTAGATTATCTTCAATAAAGTAATGACTGAAGTGAAACAACAAAATAAAAGCAATAATTGCCAGTCATCCAATGATCCAAGAAGTAATAGAAAATAAAAAATAAAACGGTTAAAATAATCTATACCGCAAAGTATAAAATAGAGACTAAAAAGAAATGAAGCAATTCCCACTCCTATGAACACTGACTATATCACAAATCAAGAAACAAACTTAACTCAGTTAACTCAGAGTGAAATAGTAACAGAACTATACGAAAGAATACAGACTAATAACAGGGTAAAACTATGAAAGATAAGATAAAAACAGCTAAGGAGACGCTCAGATTAAAATGTATATTAAAATACTGCAAGTAACAAAACCCCACAATATGAAATTTAATACTTCCAGGGGCGAATTTGGGCATCTACACATGCCCAGAGATTTTTCTGACTCACCTCTTTCTTTCTTTTTTTAAATTTATTTATTTATGCAGAGTGTTATGCGATTTCAAGATTCTGATTTTGTGTATATTGAATAAATGTTTGTTTTCGTTGATTTTACAGTAGTAATATTTGGATATTAGAAATGTCAGCTTCCTCAGCACCAAAACCTATGGACTTGCGAAAAGAGCAGGAAAACGAGCGAATTTTATTATGCTATTAATTATCTTAGGAAGGCAGATGATAGCGTTGATGGGGAGATGCTTCAGTGCTTTGGTCGAAATGCCATCGTGCCTTGGGCTTTTCTTCGTCTGTAAGAAGCTGATGGTGTTGGCTAGGATTGTTGGGGTTGTCAAGAAAGTGAAGTTGCAAGGAGCAGAAGTATTAAGGAAGTTATTGACCACCAGACTGACAGTTGAATATGGTTATTCTCGTACATAGTGGGATTAAGAGTGAATGTATCCTCTAATATGGTTCTCAAAAGATTTAGCTTTATCTAATAGTGTATATGAAAGTCCACTGGATCCTTGGATAGGTGGGATTAGTTTATACGGTTTCTTGAATTTGCGGAAAATGTCAAATAAATAATTATCCTCTATAGCCAGGTTGTTTAGTAAATCGGTCCATTTTTGGTTTTTAAAGTTCTTGATTCTTCTGTTTATTTCCTTTTGCATTGAGCTTTGAGTTGTGATCTCTGGTGGTTTGCCATCTTTTACGGAGTCGGTTTTCTCATTAATATTATTTCTTATGTCGATAAGCAGGGGGAGGAAAGGCTTGTTCACGTGAAAAGTATTGGTGGGTTCCCTTAATGCAGAATTGATGCAGTTGGTAAATTTAGAGACTTCTTGTTCTAATTTTTCTTTGTTGTTGATGCATGGATTTCCTTGTAAGGAGTTATGCAGAATTTGACTGGTTAATGAGGGGAGTATTTATTAATGGGAGTTTCAAGTACAATGGTGTTGTGATCGGAAGAGAGGGCTGGGATTGCAGAAATATTGCATCTGTTTGTAATGTTATTTGATATGAAGAAGTCCATTGTGGAGGCGCTATTGTACCCGTAATTGGATGGACTCGTCTGGGGCATGAATGTTATAATTATTTGATTGCATGAGGTTGAATATGTCATTTCCTTTCTTGCTTGCAAGTCTCCGGTTCCAGCAGAGGTGTTTGGCGTTAACGTCCCCTCCGACAATGGTAGAAGTATTGGAATTTAGGAGATGAAGCAGTTCATGTGAGCTGGGATTGTTATTTGGTGGGATGTATACATTAGATATTTTGAAATTTTTGTGCTCTATTGTAACCTCTATTGCGCTACTTTCGAAAGTGGCTGTTTCTTCATCGTATTGTATTTACGCGTATGTGGATTACTTCTAAATCGTGTGACTTTTGTATGCAGTGAATAGTGATATTTCTCCAAGAATTAGTGACCACGAGCTATGGTGGGGAACGAACTCCCTACAGCTAAAATGGATACATCTGTGGTTATGAGCCACGTGCTAGAATTAACGGATGAAATGCATCGTTTTGGAGATAAATATCTAGGAGATAATTGGGGTGCGTTAATAAATGCGGAAACTTTAATACTAGAAAACTATTTGTGTGTGTTACAGAACATTGAAAAGTTAAAAAATAGGATTATGTTGATCGATATGGACTTAGAAACAATGAGCAACTCTGAAGGTGCTGAACAACATATTCAATTTCTTTGGAACTTGTATACCAGGGAAGACGGATTCGCCGAGAGACTATTAAGGATCTATAATGGTAAGTGTAAGTTTTTTGGTGCACATAATCCTGACTGTGTTGATTTAAGTATTACTGATATTACTCAAAAAGTTATAGCTGGTAAACTTAAAAATGTTAAATTCAATACTTGTAAGAATGTTGATGTCAATGTAGAAAACTGTTCTGAAGAAATTATTAGCAATTCTGAATCTACTGTTAATGATAATGTGGATATTATTAATGCTAAGCCCAAGCGGGCATCTAAAAAGAATAAGAGGTCAGCTACTGATATTACTGATTCTGATGGCTTTGTTTTGCCGAAAAATCCGGCGACCAGGCCAGCTAAATTGATTAAATGTAATGTGGAAATCACGGTTACCAATAAATTCTGTGGCTTGAATGAAAATGATAATAGTAATGACAATATGAATCAGGATGAGCCTGAGATTACTAAAATTGAGTACCCAAAAGTTAAACCTTTTATGGTTAAACCGGCAGAAAATTTTCTGATTTTGTTGAGAAATTAAAAGACGACTTAAAACTAGAATTTGTGCCAAAATTAACGAAGAATTCTTGAAAGTTTTCCCGAAAACTGAAAGAGACCATAGGGTAATTACAAGTTACCTGGAAGATAAACAAATTGATCACTATTTGATAATCAGTAAAGTGGATAAACCCATTAAAGTTGTTTTCAGGGGTCTTCCTCTAAATTGTCCCAAGGAGGAAATACACGAAGAGCTAGTTGCTTTTGGCTATAATGTACGCAAAGTTTCGCAAATGCATAACTTAAAAACAATGTTCCGATGCCGCTATTTCAAGTACAGTTGGAGAAGGTACCAGAGGTGGAAGAAATTCATAATTTAACTTATTTCATGTATTTTTATATTTCTGTTACCCCTTATAATTCTGTCGGAAGTGTTGTGCAATGTCATAGCTTCCAACACTTTCACCATTCATCAGGTAACTGTAAACTAAAGCCTCGATGTGTCAAGTGCGCATGGCCTCACAAAATTGAAAATTATAAAGCCAAACGTATAGATAATGTCATGTGCTGTAACTGCAAACAACCAGGGCACATGGCCAATTACTGTACGTCAAAATAGCACAAAGTAATGAAATAAGGAAAGTTAATGTGTCAAATAAAGGAAATAATGTTTATAGATGTAATGTAATACCAGGCGTTAGCTATGCTAATGCAGTTAGTGGGAAGTCTGCTACTTTAAACAATAAATTGTCGGATTATAGTGTTAAAAATGCAACTGTTAGTAGTAGTAGTAGCAAGGAAAACCTACTGAGGTAGGTCAGAAGGATTTACTGATACGTGTAAATTTATTAAGGAACTTGTGGACATTTTTAAAGGTTTTTTTAATTGCCAACATTATTAGAAAAATTACAGATAAGATGCCTGAGCTTTAAGCTGCAGAGCACACTATTGATAAGATGTTTATTTTGTTTGAACTATTCGAAAATATTTTTGGTTCTAAATGTGATGCTTAATGTATAGTATTGCAAACAATTGTCAAACCCAATTTATGTTGCAAATTACTATGTATACAGATCCAACAGAGATATAACTGCTGGCAGGAGGAGAGGAGGTGGCACAGCTCTCCTTGTTAAACGCTGCATTCCTCACTATCAAATAAATTCCAACGCTTTCAGCCATTAAATCTACAGCTTTCTATTCATAACATACACGTTTGTATCCACTTGGGCATGCCACCATCAAAACTCCGTACAGCTGTTAGGCTGATCTCAACACATTACTCACAATTGGCACATAGACATAATCGTAGGTGGGGACCTGAACGCTAGACACCGCGCGTGAACGCTATAATTCTAACACAGTTGGCAATGTATATTCACTTTGGACATCCCTTTCCCGCGCTCCAACTACCTACCCCAACACGGTATAACCCTAGATTCACCGGTATCTTCTCCTCAAAACCCAGTGTTCCGGATGTTCCTGTTGGACGATTATCTTCAGACCAATCGCCCCCGTTTGGTACTGGATACCAGTAGTTATACTACACGAGTC